ATATGTTTGAAAGCATGATCCTCTGTGCAGAAAGGTTTCAAGGGTAGGACCTAGTTGGTTGAAATAGATCACTGGAGGTGGGTCCTAGAAGGGTTTATCTTCTCCCCAGCGCCTTCCTCTCTCCTGGTCTCACAGCCTCCCTACTGACTTGAGCTGAGTTTTCCTCCACCATACCCTTCTGCCACGATGCTCTGCTTCACCTCAAGCCAAGACCAATAGAGCTGGCCAACCATGGACTTTTTTTAATCCTCTCAAGACATGAGCCAAAATAAATCTTCCCTTCTTTAAATTATTCTTGTCAGGCATTTTGGTCAAGTGAAAAAAAGCTAACACAGCCTTATATTAGAAGAAAATACCATCTAGGGCTTTCATAGCTAGAGAGGAAAAGACAATGCATAGCTTCAAAGCTTCTAAGGACAGAGTAACTCTCTTGTTAGGGGCTAATACATTTGGTGACTTTTAAGTTGAAGCCAATGTTGATTTACCATTCTGAAAATCTTAGAACCTTAAGAATTATTCTCAAAATATACTCTACCTGAACAAAAATAAAAAAGTTCATATGACACCACATCTGTTTAAAACAGGTCTTACTAAGTATTTGAAGCCCACTGTTGAGAACTACTGCTCAAAAAAAAAAACAAAAACAAAAACAAAAAGATTCCTTTCAAAATATTATTGCTGACTGACAACAAGAGTTCCACTCAAGAGCTCTGACGGAGATGTACAACAAGATTAATTTTTTTTCATGCCTGCTAAAACAAAATCCATTTAGCAGCCCACAGATCACAGACTAATTTGACTTCCAAGTCTTATTATTTAAGACAGACATTATTTTGTAAGGCTATAGTTACCATAAATCCCTCTGATGGATCTAAGCAAAGAAACTGAAAACTTTCTGGAAAGGATTCTCAATTCTAGATGTCATAAAATAAATATTTCAGTGACCTGGAACCAAACTTACAGGATCTCAGAGGTAACGCTATACATATACAATCTATAACAAACTTTTAACTTTTCATTTAAAGGAAACACTTCATGGCCTCTCCCTATCAAGTCCAAATTGCCAGCATAGCTACTCTTACACTTTGGGGCTATTATTAAGTAAAATAAGAGTAACCTGAACATAAGCACCATGATACCATGATAGTCAATCTGATAACCAAGAAGGATACTAAGTGACTGATCAACAAGCAGCAGATATAGCATAGATATACTAGACAAAGGAATGATTCACATCTCCAGAGGATGAAATGAGGCGGTGAGAGGTTTCACCATTCTACTCAGAACAGCATGAAACTTGAAACTGGGAATTGTTTATTTCTGGAATTTTCCATCTAATATTTTCAGATCCCAGTTGACCACAGGTAACTGACACTGTAGTGCAAAGCAGAACCTCAGACAAGGGAGAATTAATGTACAACTAAAGTTTTCTGCCTTGAAGTCCAACATCTTTTCCATTTTACCATAATGGCATTCAAGATGCAGAAAGAAMACCAAAATTCTAACAACTGATTCACTGTAAGTCACAATATAAACAGCACTCCTAGTTGATTTATTAATGAAAATTGAAACTTTATGACAGTAATCATATACCATATTAAAATGTTGTTTAAAAAGTCTTTTAGACAAAGTATCATAAAATTTTTATTAAAAGGATCACTATATCCCTTTAATATATGCTTTCATGTATGCATAAACAATTTTTCTCACTCTAAAGAACTTAAGGGGCTGGGGTTGTGGCTCAGTGGTAGAGCGTTTGTCTAGCATTGCAACGCACTGGGTTCGATCCTCAGCACCACATAAAAATAAATAAAATAAAGGCATTGTGTCCAACTACAACTAAAAAAATATTTTTAAAAAGAACTTAAAAATAAGAATTTAAATAAAAGTACCACATTAAAATCACTAAACATGCATTTAAAAATTCAACCATTTAGGGGATGGGATGTAACAGTGGTAGGGTGCTTGCCTCACGAGTGCAAAGATCTGGGTTCAATCCCTAACATTGCGAAAAAAAAAAAAAAATCAACTATTTTAACTGATTCTTAAGTTCTCCTAAAAATTATACTAGTAACAAAATTTTCCAGGGTAATTAATTCTTAAGTGAAATATTCTGCTTGCATGACCTAATATATTCACTCACGGACACTAATAAGTGTTTAATATGCATTAATTTTATTTAATCTGTATAAGATTCCAAAATTCAGAAATTATTATTAGCTTCTTTCACTGATTAAAAAAAAATCTTAAGAGATTTGTAGTAACTTGTTCAAGATTATAGAGATAATAAATGATATATCTGAGACCTGAAACAGTTCAGTTTGACTCCACATCCTATATTCCAATAAGCATCATCCACTTTGAAATGCTAAAAGTCCCTCAAGTTATTACATTCCTCTTCTTGCTTCAAAGAAAATGGACAACTGGCTGGGCACGGTGACACACGTGTATAATCCCAGTGGCTCGTGCCTGTAATCCCAGTGGCTCCGGAAGCTGAGGCAGGAGGATTACAAATTCAAAGCCAGCCTCAGCAATTTAGCAAGGACCTAAGCAATGTAGCAAGACCCTGTCTCAAAATAAGAAATGAAAAGGCTGGGGATATGGCTCAGTGGCTAAGCATTCCTAGGTTCAATGCTTAATACCACCCTCCAAAAAAAAGAAAAGAAAAGTGTCATAAAATTTGTATCATAATGTGTCCTAACATTTGCTTCTCAGAAAAAATTCTCCCTTGGAAATTATTGTATAAAGAGAGGTTTAATTCTCAGGCCAATCCTCGAAAACTTCACTATCATTCAAAATAATACTTCAACCAAAGGTTCTGTTGAATTATAATAAGACAAAAGAACATCATCTTCTGTTACAATCTGTAAAAATATATCCCAAATCCCAGAAGTAATATGAAATTGCTTTGTTGCTTTCAGGACACAACCAGGAATGATTTGATATGTCCCATTCCCCATCATGAGTATCATCAGGAAATAATAAAGATGCCAATTCTCAGGGAAGGAAGGGACAAATCCAGGAAGAGAAAAGGGTAGGGTAAGAAAGTCCCATTTATTTGTATATGTATTCAAGTTTGAAGCACAAAAGGGCCTCTGCTATTAAAACTATTTCTGTTACAGTTCAGTATTAAAACAACAACAAMAAAAAAAAAGCTGTACAAACTAGGATGGAAACAACTTGCAAACAGATTTGGAACACAATACACTTATAAATTGGAAATGAGCTGTATTCACTAATATTTTCTATTAAGTAGCTAGTCCTTCCAAATTCTCTGAAAATTAAAATATTTTAGAAAGAGGAAATGGTGACAGAGCTATGACTCCCTTTAGCTGCATATACACAAAAACATCTTTATACACAAAGTACCCAAGTCAGTGGCAATATGTACTAGATACTCTGGAGTGATAATACCCAAGTCATATATCCAAAACACTTTAGTATTCTTCTTTTAAATAAGGAGTTTGAGGGGCTGGGCTTGTGGCTCAGCAGTAGAGTGCTCGCCTAGCATGTCAGAGACCCTGGGTTCAATCCTCAGCACCACATAAAATAAATAAATAAATAAAATAAAGGTATGTGTCCAACTAAAAAATAAAATATTTTAAAATAAATAAATAAGGAGTTTGAGATTATGTTCAGATCTTTAAAACTATGAAACTTATTCTTTTTTACTGGCAGAGCTTCATTTTGTTTTGTTTTGTTTTTAAGCTCTAGGGATGGAACCCAGCATGGAGCTATACTCCCAGCTCTTTTTATATTTTATTTTGAAACAGGATTGTGCTATGTTGTCCAGGCTAGCCTCAAACTTGTGATCCTCCTGCCTCAGCCTCCCAAGTTGCTGGATCACAGGCATGAACCACTATATCCAGTTTTGAGAGAATGTTTAATAGGATTTTTAAAGATGGGATATTAACATATTTTGCTGTGCTGATCTGATTAGTAAAAACAGACAGACATGTGCTTTTATACTATGATGATGATAAAGTAAATTCAAAGTGTCAGTCTGGAGTGTAATTTAGCAATAATTGTCAAGTCACAAAAATATGCATAGCTTTTGACTCAGTAATCCAACTTGTAAGAAAAAATGCCAGATATCCATAAATTAATTTATTTCACAAATTTAAAAATAATTTCAAAATTATTTCTCAAATTATTTTGTGCCTGTATACCAAAAGTTGGGGGGAAAAAAACTAAATGTCCAATACCACTAAGAACCAAACTAAAATATATCTATTAGATAAAATATTATACTACCATTAGAAACTATATTACTAAAAAAAGTCAATAACAAAACAAAAAAAATGTTCATGATACTTGAAATGCAAAAAAGCAAGATAAAAAATCATGGATAACTACATATAACTATATATATGATTCTAAATTTGTATTTTGAGATCTTATTTTCTAGGGACTTTGGCCTAGTTACTTAACCTCTCTGTACAGTGTCTTCATCCATAAAATGAAGATTGCACATTTAAATATAAAATATAAAGATCTTATATTTCATATCTCAGTGAAATGTTAAATGACTTATTTGCAAAGTTCTTGGAATGTTATCCTGGTACATATAAAAACAACAGCAATTATTTTCTGCTGTTATATATTTATACACACACACACACACACACAAAGAAAAATTGGAAGAAATGTATCAAGATATTATCAAAGATCCTGAATTCTAACAAAACTAATTCTAAGACTGATTCTAAGTACTGATTGCATATTAGAAGATATTTTTTAAAGTCTGTACATCATAGTGAGGTATTTACAAATAAAATCCAATACCTAAGATTTGCTTTAAAAGACTTCACTAGGAGGTTTATTTGTGGAGATTTTTTCCAAACACTTTCATGTTATCAGAAGTAGGTAACCTCTGGGTAATGGAATTATTACTAATTTTTATTTCCTTTTTTTCTATTTTCCAAATATTCTACAATGATTTGAAATTATTTTTTAAATGAGAACATTTTTTTTTCAAAGAGCTTTAAGAAAATTCTTACCAATACTCCATCCACAGATGAAACTTTCTCCCAAGTTAACCAAGCTCTTTCTCTGACATGATCTGGTATCTTTAATTTCTGACATAAGGCAGTGAAATCAGGTTCTTCGGTTTCTTCAAACTCAAGCCTAACAAATGAAAATAATCATATAACAGGCACATACTTATAAACATTTGTTTCAACAGTTTGCACATAATAGCACTATTCTGAAAGAGAACATCACATAAGTACTTTAATATCTTATTTTATCTTCAAAAATTATTACACTTAGAATTTAAACATGTTTATCTTTTTCATAGTCTTTCCAAAATAAAGAAGCTACACAGTGAAGAATATTTGCTGACATGGTTAATCAAATATACTCGAGTGCAGCAAAACAGCTTTGTGAAAGAAATTAAGTACAATAGTTAATGCTGTTTGGGAAACAGGATAATAACAACAGAAAGAAAAGTCTACCGATAATATTAAACAGTTCATTCAAAGACAGTGAGTTTGCTAAATTGTAGTCTACACTTACCAATGTTTCACATAATATTAATTATTACAGCACTTATTTCAGCTCTTACTCCTTGACCTTTTTTAACTAAGGTTAAGCATTCAATAAATTCTTATTCACTAACTTCTTTTCTTTAATTTGATATCTATTTAACATCTAATAATAATAGCAACAGTGTGAGGRATAACTTAATTTTTGAGTATTCATTATGATCCTATACAAAATACTTTAGATGATGGTGGTTTCACTGAATCCCCACATTAAGTACTTCCATTATTTTTGTTTCACAGATGTCTACCAAATGAGAGAAATTAAAGCACTCACCTGAGATCACAGAAATTAAGAAATAACCACATTATGATCCCAAATCTAACTCCATAGTCCAGGTCCTTGACCACTATTCTAAACTGCCATCTCCTTCTTGAAAGCATAACGAACTTTTGATTATTTCAGTAACAAAGTTGGCAAGCTGTTCTTAGTCAGTTTTTCTCGCAACTACATCACTTAGACAACAATAATGCAACAGAAATAACATCTCAACTCTCAAAGTAAAAATGGACTTGTCAATGGAAATATAGTCAGACTGGGTCCTGAATCCATCCCTAAAACAAGTTCCTGAACTTCAGATTGTCAGATGATAGTTCTACTCTTGTAAAGACAAGGATTTGATACAAAACAACATTTTAGTCAACAACAAACTGAGTATATTAACAATAGTACAATAAGATTATAATGGAACTGAAAAATTCATATCACCTAGTGACATTGTGGTCATTATAATGCCACTGCACAACACTTTACTCCTGTGTTTTGGGTGGTGCTAGCATAAGTAACCTACTGTGCTGCCACTTGTTATAAAACATGCAATTATGTACAGACTATAATATTTAAACAATTATATTACTGGTTTATATATTTACTATATTATATATATATATATATATATTTACTATATTTTTATCATTAGTTTACTCCTTCTACTAAATTTTAAAAAAAAGTTTTGTTAAACAGCATTCTGTGTTATGCCAGCAGCACCCTCATACATCTCATGTTTACTTCTTGACTGCATCAAGCCAGATCAAGTGATTGACCTATACTATTTAGGTGTGTAAGTGCGTTCTACAATGTTCATACAAGATTTACCTAATGATGCAATTCTCAGAACATATCCCTGTCACTAAACACACGACTAGTTTATCCATAGAGATCAACTGTGCTAATGAAAACCATTGTGGGTTTTCATGGGTATGCAAAAGTAGACTGCATCTTGTATGGTTTTAACTTAGAATTTTTTATAATTACATCATTTAAAGGTATATAAAATAATGTGATGAGGGAAAGAGAAAGAAAGTTCTTTTCCAAGGTGATGGGTAGATTTCAATATTTCTGCTTACTCCACAATAATCAAAATTACTTACAAAGCTGTGTGGATGACATGGAATTCTATAGACATTACTGTTTTTTTCAAAGGGAAACTTTCAAGTATTGGACTCATCAGAGTTTAATCAGAAACTGAAGCAATATTTTTCTCTTGGAACATTCCCCAGACCTTTTTTGTTTGTAATATTTTGTTCTTACCAGTGAGTATGATTTTAATTGACCTATACGACAGTTCATTTAAATAGATGAATTKTAAATAGGCATGAACAGTCCATTTACAAAATTCTATTTCAATCTTTTACAGTTCAACCTGAATTCTGTTACAATCTGGGGAGTGGAAAGAAAGGTGCTATTCAGACTGAGGATAAAATTAAGCTTGATGACGGACTAGAATGGGAGAGGGAGTGGAAGGGTCAAAAACAAGATCTATCCCCCTGCAATGGATCTGCAGTCTCAAAGTAAACCCAATGCTGACAAAAATAATGATCATATACTATTTAAATTTTTTGCTACTTAATCATAAAGTAACACCCGGGAGAAAAATAATGTTGAAACGCAATAAATAGCTCCCTGTCATGTTTTACTGCATCCACATGAACTTGCTTAAATTTAGATTTCATTTAGTAAAAGGTGGTTGCGAAAGTTCCTTGTGAGCACAAGAACACCTCTCATTTTGTACCCAAACAAAACCAAAAAGAGGGACACAAGGATTCTTTCTGATTCAAAGTCAAAAGGCAAAAATGGAAGAAAGAACGAGGCACGCTGAGGCCGACTAACAAGCAAGAGGAGCCCTCTTCAATAAGAAAGAGAAAAAGTTAAGCAACTTTCCAGCGCTTACTCTCCCGAAACTTTTGCCCCTATATCAGTTCCTCTAAAAAGAGTTACGCTCTGCCAGTCACCGCAGATGGTTTTAAATCCCCACGGCACAGAGCATTGTTCTAAGGAAACCCCACAAAACCTTTCGGTCCAGGATCCCGTGGGCAACTGACACCCACGACCCTGCTCTTCAAGTCCAAGACGTTTTTTGGCCTCTCCGGGACCGGGCTGTAGATGCAGTGCACGCCCAGAGGAAAAGACTTCCAACTTTTGCATCGCAGAAGATCAAAACAAAAAGTCAAACGACCCCCGGAGCAATCCGTATCTCGATGAGAGAAAAACTCTCTAACAGACAGGTCGTTTTTAAAAAAAATTATTATTACTCTTTTGCGTGTGAGGGGCGCGCAATGACCCGCCGCCTTGGAGCCTCCGCCTCGCCGGCGGAAAGACTGCACCTGTCACTTCGCTCAGGAACCCGAGCCCCACCCGCCCGACACCTGTCAAGCTGGAGCCGAGACCCCTCCGGGATGCCCTCTCCTCGCTCGCGAGCGCAGAACCCTGTCACCGCCGAGCCGACGCTCCGCCGGGGCGGGAGATGAGAGGGATGTCCTCCCGCCGGGACCGGCCCCGGAGAAGATGCGCCCGGCTCTAGCGGCCGCGGCGCCCACCCGCCGGCACTCTGCGGGTGCCCTTCCCGCCGGCGGCCGCGGCGGCGGCGGCGGCTCCGCTCGCTCACCTGGCCAGAGGCAGGTCCTCTGGGCCACTGTCCTGCTCCGGGTCCTCCTCAGGAGGAGGCGGCGGCGGCGGCGCCGGGGGTTCCACAGCCGCCGCCGCGGCAGCCGCCGCTCTTCGGGGGGTTTTGGGCGGCATGACGCGCTCCCAGGGCAGGCGCCAGGGAGCTATGGAGGAGCGCGGAGAAGGCGGCGCGCGCGCACGTCGGGGCACGCCCCGTCCTCTCTCGACTCCCGTTACAAAAATAATTTGAACGTCCCCTGAGAAAAACCGGACGCGCCCTCCCCCGCCCGGCAACCGAGCGCCGCGTCCAACCGCGGGAAAACGTCACTTCCGCCCGCGGCGTCACGTCCGCGAGGCTCCCGGGCTCGCCGGCGTCTGGGGGGAACCGGGGCGCCCGCGGTGCGCGGGCCGTGGCGCGAGGGCGCACGGCCTGGGCGGGAAGGCCCGGCCTCCCCGGAAGCCGGCATCGCTGCCTGGACATGTTTCCACCCGAAACGCGCCGCTCGGGGGCGGCGTACCTGCACCGCGGCTTTACAGAGAATCTGGTGGGTGACAGTGGGCACCCCTCTTTCTATGTGGGGCTGCTCGGGGCTGACCAGCGGCCCGGCAGGGGATCTCTGGCGAGCGCACCCTGGGCGGGCACGCCCCTCTCCTTTCGCGGGCAGCCCCCTCCCTCTCCACCCGGCTTCTCCCGCCCAATCCGTTGAGCACAGAAGCCAAAACAAAAACAAACACAAACGTTGGAACTCGGAGTCGGAGCTGAACTTTGCCTATTTCTGGGAGTTAGAAAGTGGAGAGCTGACACTAGCGTTTTGGAGATCCCGGGTTAAGAAAAGAGGAGCGGGGGGGTGGGGAATGTACAGATTGTAGTGTAATAAACGATATTAGTATTGTAAAAACAGGAGCCACCATCGAGACGTCTAAGGGAGATCTTCAAAGGAGCAGTGACAATTAAATACAAATTTGCAAGACTGACCTATTGTCTATGGTGAATTTAATATGTACCAGGCACCATACTGGCCGCCTCATTTAATTCTTATTTAATCCTCAGAAATAGCCCATCAAAAGCATAATATCATGGGCTGGGGTTGGGGCATAGTGGTAGAGTGCTTACCTAACACGTCTGAGGCACTGGGTTCGATGCCCAACACCACATTAAAAAAAAAAAAAACTAAATAACGCATTCTGCTGTCATGCATAACAAACTAGAATAAATAAATTTTTAAAAACTAAACAAAGGTATTGAGTCCATCTACAGCTAAAACAAAAACAAAAACATAACATCAGCATTCCATTGGAAAACAGGCTCAAAGGAGTTAATGAACTTGCCCAAATCAAATAGCAAATGAAGGCGGAGGACTTGCTTGAACCCAAGTATATTTGATTCCATGTATCCATTACATTATATTGCAAAAGCACAAAGACATCAGAAAAGAGCTTACTGGAACTACCACCATCAAACATTGACTTTGAAGCTGTTTGTTCTGTCACTTGGTATTCATATTAATAGACGTCTCATTTGAGTACATGATTTTCTCTTTGGCACTCTGCCATGTGTGTGCAAATACCATTGGTGTTTTACTCAGATGCTGTGAGTCAAACACAGTTGTGTTCTGATGTAAATTTCCTTATCCTGTTTTTACAATACTAATTTTTAAAAACTAAATGAGCAAGGACAGAGGCAGCAGGAAACTTCAAATACGTTTATGCCAGCAAGTTGTACAATAGACAATCTTTTTCTCCATATGCTGACATATGCCAGGATGTGTAAAGGTTTGGCAGGTACTGGCCAGTCCTGCAGTCCTTTCTAACTTCAGAAACCCTCTATTTGGGGTCCAGATATTTTCCAGGAATTGGGAGCCAGGTCTAGGTCCTGCCACGGAGAATAAATGTGATTAAAGTGGTAGTTCCATCCACCTTGCTCCAGATTTAGGCAAGAGCTCCAGATGCAGATTTGATCTTTGGAAGATGGAGCATAATCTTCTGGTGGCCCAATAAAATGGGATACATGAATAACACAATTCTACCCCTTAACTGTAATCTTCAGAATATGACTTACCAGTTGCTGCAACTGTTGTAACCTGAAGTAGGCCAAACTAGGGAGAAGGCAGAAATGCTAAGATTGGTGCAGGACRAGTATAAAAAGAACTGGGTCCTCAGCAAATAACAGAGTTTCTGATTTGGCCAACCCTAGAGCCAACCTTAACTGAGCTAAAGTTTTCAGCTGTCTGTACCAGAAAACATGACTGATATTTCTCCTGTGAGCCCCTTTAGGATAAAGACTAAGTCATAGGTGTCATTGTGGCCTAGTACCTAGCACAGTATTGGACACACAGTAAATGCTTGCTTGCTAACAGTAGGGAGAGCAGAAGAGCTAAGGAAAGTTCTGGGAACCAAAGTAAGCTCTCTTCAAATGTAGATATGACTGGCTTTATTTAAACCTATTTTATCAATATCAGATTTACCACAATTATGATAAATCAAAGACAAGATTTCTCAATTTACAAAAATATATGTATATTTACCATGGCTTAATTCAACAATGTTCCATAATGCATTTAAAATCTATTTTCCAGGACTGGGGCTGTGGCTCAGTGGTAGAGCACTTGCCTAGCATATGTGAGGCACTGGGTTCAATTGTCAGCACCACATATAAATGAATAAAATAAAGGTCCATCAGCAACTCAAGACATTTAAATAAATTAATTAAATTAAATATATTTTCCTTCCACACAACTCAGGAGCAACTGAGTCAAAGTCCTTCCATTCTCTACCACAGTGTTCTGTGGTACTACCAGAGAAGTATTCAGAAATTCTGCAGATTCTTAAAGTTGCACCACATGTCCCCCTACCTGTGTAATAATTTTAAGAAGATTACTGTAAGGAGAGGAGGAAAAAAGCAACCTTTCTTAGGACTTTCTGTGTATCTGAAAAGGAATTCTCTTCAGCTGGAGACCSCTGCAGTGATATTAGACATATATATCTATATGAGATATATATCTTCACTATATMTGTATACATATGTTTCCAGTATGTAATAAGTCTTCCCTCCATGTGCTTGCGCCACCAAGCTTCCACACTATTTTCTTTTTTTCTTTTTTTTTTTTTTACCATCTTGCTTATTAAGAGTATGGTTTCCATTGATTCACACTACTTCCCCAATTCCTCAGCTTATTAGTGCCTGGATTTCTTCCACTACCATCACCAGCACTCCGTTGAAATCATTCTTCCAAAGGTCACCAACGTCCTGATTGTCAATTTAATGACTTATTTTTGGTCCTTTACCTCCTTGACCTTTCTTGCAATTAACACAGTTAACTGATTCCCCTTTCTCAAAAATTTCCTAGTCTTCCACAAATCCATGGTCTCTCCCTCCCTTCTTTTACTTTGCAAACTCCCTCACTAATTCTTTTTCTGCCTGTCTCTTCAATGTAGGTGTTCCTTTGAACAATGCTTTGCAAAGAGTGATCCTTACACCAGTATGAGTCTGCAAAACTGCTTGTGTTTAGTCACAAGGAGTTAAATACTGAAATTAAAAATGTTTAGCATTCATAGCAGTTTGACATGTCAGTAGTATCTAAGAACATGATCATTGGACACTTCTCATTGAACAGAATATGGAACTCTTCTCCAACTTGTGTGGTGAGTTGCAGGGGGCATGCCTGTGTCTTTGTCATGCTCGTATGACCATATTTTAAGGTTATTTTTTTCCCTGCAACTCAAAACTAAGTAAAAATCTCTGAAAATGTAAATATTTGTTTTTTTATTATTTTACAGTATTTTTAATTTTACTTGATGCCTGGATTTACTTGAGTCTTTTTTGGCGACTCAGTCACATTAAGGGAGTAAAATTTGTGTCATTTATTTTAAGTCCTATATTGTAAGAGATGAAATAAATAAAATAAACATCTTTAATGTTTTAGTAACAGTAATAGTAAACTAAGTGATCATATAAATGATTCTAAAGAATTAAAGAACTAAGGGTTTTTACTAGTTTTACTTAGAARCATAATCTCCCACTTATTGAGTTCATAGCCATAACTCATAGCAAAGTTCTAAAATCATATACTAATAAAGTAATAAAGCCATCAAACTTAAATGACAGTTATATGTGTACAAAAATAAAGGTAATTATGAATTTGATAAACTATTTTGAATATTTATTCTCCACCAAAATAAGTTCACTCAAACACATACCCAAAAAATCATGAATCCAAAATCCATTTCTTCTATTGAAAGATTATTTAATTATAACTATAATTTTATAGGTCAAATTTTCCCTTTTTATAAGCACATTATATATATGGGATTTGTTATAATATATTCATACATGCACACAATAAAACAGTATGGAAAGGTAGCAGAATACAACAGTTACTAATAGGGCATTATGTAAAAATGTGGATGTGTAACAGATGTGATTCTGCAATCTGTATTTGGGGTAAAAATGGGAGTTCATAACCAGAATCTAATGTATGAAACATGATATGTCAAGAGCTTTGTAATGTTTTGAACAACCAATAAAAAAAGAAAATTATGAATGACTATTAAAATTTGATATTAAATTAAAAAACAATAAAACAGTATAATTTGATCAATTTCATTCATTTTTGAAGGCTGAGTAATATTCCATTGTGTATATGTACCACATTTTCTTTATCCATTCATCTGTTAAGGGGCATCTAGGTTGGTTCTATAGTTTGGCTGTTGTGAATTAAGCTGCTATAAACATTGATGTGGCTGCATCACTGTAGTATGCTGATTTTAAATCCTTTGGGAGTGGGATAGCTGGGTCAAATGGTGGTTTCAATCCAAGTTTTCTAAGGAATCTACATACTGCTTTCCAGAGTGGTTGCACCAATTTGCAGTCTCAACAGCAGTATATGAGTGCACCTTTTCCCCCCACATCCTCACCAAGTATATGACAATTTTTGAAACTAGCTACTGAAGAATTTAGAAAATAAAGCTTTGTTTCCTTCATCATGGATAAAAGTTTAAAGCAAATATCCTGAGCTTACTAAAATTGCTTTCTTCCATTCTCTCCATTCCTTTGAGAGACTGGTTTCTCTAGTATTCATGTTATTAAAATAAAACACAAAAATAGTTTGGCTATGCATTATCTCCTTCAAGTAGTGTATCATCAATCCAATCAACCTACATTAGGAAATTTCACAAGGAAGGAACATACTCACTTATCACATCAAAGTTTTAAAAATTGATACTGTGTACTGTTTAGTATGAGGAATTTCTACTTAATTCCACAACTTTATATTAATTATTATGACYGTGAAATGCCAA